ACTATATTTTTTATATAATAATTATATTATTAACATTAATATTTTATTTTTTATTAAAAAATTAATACTTTTTTTTTGTTTGCAGGCAAATTTGCCTGCTCTACAGTTTAAGGGATAGTGTTTATCGCCTAAATGCCACATAGCTGCAGGTTCATCATCATATTTAAATATTTGATAAACTATATCCCTTATATTTCCTTATTGATAAGAATTTCATCGTCATCTGAAAGAGAAATTGCATAGCGTACTTGTGCTTTCGCATGGCCCCGGTCAGCAGCATCTTGAAATAATTGATTAGCTAACTTTTCATTCTTTTCAATATCCAATACATAAACACCTTTCCAATAAATAGCGCTCAGGTTGTCAAGTTCCGCACGTTTACTAAAACATTCCCAAGCTTTTTGCATTTCTTTGTTTTTATATGCAACAATTCCCTCGATTAAGGAATAATATGATGAATTGCAGGATTTTTAAAATCATCTGATCTAAGTTGATTGCCATAATCTTTAGAAGATATCATCTCAGGACTTGTGGAGTCATCATTATTTGGAATAAACCCTTCTTTAATGTATTTTTCACGTAAGTTTTCCAAGTCTTCAAGAATACATTGGAAGTTTGGACGATTAATAGGATTTTCATCCCAAGCTAAATAGTAATCTTTATAGCATTTTGTAAAATTTGATCTTATAATGTTGTTAGAAAGAAGAGATTATACTTACCTTTTTTAATAATTTTTATAAAACCGTTGAGAATATCTGATGTCCCGAAATCATAATCTAGAGTTTCTCTGCTGCCGTTTGTGACATAATCTTTAATAGATTGATTATGAATTCTTTGATATGGAATATTTTGAAAAGCAAGCTCCCAAAGCAACATGCCAAAACTACAAACAATTATTTATCTTAGCAATTGCATTGATGAATATTAAAGCAAATAAGCAAGTTGAAATTACTACGTGAAAAATTACCTAAAAACTTCACATTTATGAGTATAAGGCTTACATTTTCTCCGGAGCCATCCAAGGATACATTTCAACTGGATTCTTGATCCGAGTTGTTTCTTGACATGTCTTGCGACAATGCTTGAAATTCGTTATCTTTGGCTCTAATCTTTCGGTCAGCTAGTGCAATTGATCATACATTAGTGTATATATATATATATATACATTCTCTTCGTAATAATTAATGGCGTAAGAACGAACGTCTTGATGGAGAATACCCAAAAAACATAGAACATTGAGCCCGCGGCAGATATCATGTGCAATTTGAAGTTTAGATTTCCATGAATAATGATCTTTTTTTTTTAAATTTATTTTCATAATATTCTTTCAAATTTCCTTCATCAGCCCAATTTTAGACCAAAACATTTACTCCGTCCACATACGAAATACCGTGAAAATTGATGATATATTTGCATGTTTGTAATTCTTTTAATATGGAAAGCCGGCCTTCTTGTTTATGAAATTCTCGTGAATTATCATAAGGTAAAATATCACATGGTTTACAGGCAACGTCCATTTGCTAGTAAACTTTTTTCACTACTTTTCCACGAGATTTTCCTTCTCTGGGATCAGTAATGCTTTGCGCTTCGATTCTTAGAGCTTTAAATGTGTTCAAATATTCATATTTGGAATCATTGTTGAGTGCCTCGCACGCAATACTAATCGTTTGCACTTTTTCGGTTGTGGATTCTACACAATCTAATAATTTTTCTATATACTGCAACAATTGAAAAACGTATTGATTATACTTAGACTCGTTGCTAGTTTGAAATTTATTGATAACGATTAAAACAAATACCTGTTGTATATAGTAAAGTTCTTTTCGATCATTTCATCTTCACCCGCTTTATCAATCACCTGATTAACAGCAATTGAAAACTGGAGATCATTCATTGCATCGTTATAATCATTCTTAGTTTATCATCCTTGATTATAGTTGAGATAAATAACATTTTTTTTGAGAAACGTCGTGAACAAAGTTTTTTATTCCACTCGCAACATTGCTAAATCTTACAAAAGCGTCAAGTAATGATTGATCCTGAAATACTTTTATATTATTATCTTTGGATTTTGATTACTTTTCGATCAGGTATTTAGCAACATTCATACGCTCAACAAATACTAAACAAATATTTTTATTATACTTAGCATCATCGAGAATTTTGTTTATAATATTTGCTGCTTTTATAATAGCATCAATGTATGGTGCAAATGGACTGAATATTTCGGTTATTGTTCCAACTCCATTGATTATATTTTTGGTGGTCCCTCCTTATTTTTTAGAATCGGTTTTTCCGGTGGTATGATCGCATTATAACTATTATCGTCGAAATAGTTCAATTCTGACTTTTAAGATTTTGAGATGGTTATCAAAAATAGTTGCGTCAAAGACTTGTTAATACTTTAATTACAAATTCACAATTGTTAAACAGATATTATCTAAATTTAAAAGCTTTTGTATGAAACCATTGATAGATAAAAGCGAAATATTGTCATTTTAGATAGATGGTGATCACTAATAATTTTTTAACTGCACTACAAAAAGCTGATGTATGTGATGCAAACTTGAAAATTGGATTTTTGGCTAATTTTGTGCATCAAAAAAAAAGCATCCACCAGAACTTTAATTTTTGTACTGCATGTAACTGTAACAATTTGAGATGTACTGTACCATGCACATGTTTCTGTAACACCGTTCAAACAATACATCAAATACAACTACAGTCAGACCTCTCTAAATGCACCCTCTATAAATGCACACCCTCTTTAAATACACACAATGTTCTGGTCCCAAGCTTGGGACTTAGAGGCTAAATGCACCCTCCAAGTTCTGCACGTGCAAGAAATTTTTCTGTCCTTTGATATGACAATCCGATCCCTAAATGCACGTCACGTGACTATTTTATAAAATAATAGGACCGTTGAAAATTTGATGTTTTTTTTATTCATTAATTAGTACACATACAGCTTTTTTTTTCGGCCTTGACTCTTTAGCATCATTATAATCTTGCATGACTTGACGTTCCTAGATTTCTTTAACCATTGGATCGTTCGGGGGGTGAGTCATGTGAAAAAAAAATTTTTAATATTTATTTTTTAAATCAATCAATGTAACTAACAACTAAAATTACTTACCTTTTGTAGCTACCGAATTCTTCAAGCATTGATCGTTCGGAGGTAATTCCTATGATATTTTTTATATTTTTTTATTTTTTTTTTTTTAATCAATCCAACAAACAATTAAATTACTTACCTTCTTATAGCTACCGGATTCTCAAGCATTGGATCGTTCGAAGGTGAGTGATTATATTATAAAAATTTGTTAAAATGTATATTTTCCATTAATGCACACCCTCTCTAAATGTACTCTTTTACTCGGTCCCGAAGGGGTGCATTTAGAGAGGTCTGACTGTATTGTTATTTTAAATTGGTTAATGGATATGATGAAATATATAGCATATACTGATTTTACCTCAATCCCAAAAGTTAATTATTTAAAATTCTAGGAATAAAAAGATGTAGTGTGATGTAACATATGCATGAAATAAATTCCAAATATGTAATAAATTTTGTTTCATGTACTGATATTATTGCATAATACAGAGATTATCTTATTAGGATAAGTCGTATGATGTAATATATGTATAATGATTATCTCAAACATAAAAATCATTTATAGTTCTAGCTCATCTTATTTCGATAAGTTTTTGTTACTGAAAATCTATTTGGTCACGAAAACTTATTTCAAATGCATTATTGCATATATTAATTATCTAAATTTAATCATGTAATGAATATACAGAATATTTTATAAGTGCTGTTAGCTTCAATTTACCAGAAAGTATGTACGTGAGAGAAAGATAAAGATAAAACATGAAGTCATTCCTTTTAAGGTTGTATATAAGTATATCACAAAAGATTATTGTATAACATTTATCGAGATGAGTTCCAAACGATTAATTGATATTCTACAAGTTATCCTTAGATTTTTAAGTTAAAAAAATAAACTTATCTTAATTGTAATTGTAGATCAAAAATCTGGATAATGATTAAAATCCACTTGAATCATTTGATTTAATTTCTTGAACAGGAAATTTGAACAGACAAACAAATCTCGTGATAGAATGCTAGTATGTAAAATAGTTTTATTTGATATATTGTAGCTATTCTACATAGTAAATTTAAAATGTATATTAGTGAGTATTTTTAATTGGTTTAAAAAGTTGATACTTTTTATCGCTACATGTATTTGCCTATCATGCTATTTGTATCCTTTTTTTGTATATTATGAAATCACAATAAGTCATTTTCTTATGCATAATTTGATATTACTTCAATAAAAGAACATTTTGATATTAAAAACAAACAAATAGTATTTGATATAATAATTGATGTGATTGAACTATGATAGATTTGAATTTAAGCATTACTAAGAAAAGCGTAGGATTAGTAATTTCAAAGGTGAAATAAGCTTTTTAGACTTGCTCATTGTTCCATTCATATTTTCTGAATCTCACAGCTTACTAGAAGATACTATTACCAGAAATGGAAAAGAGTTTTTTAAACTTTCTTGAAAAACTAATTTATAAGCTATAGTGGCATAAATCTATGTCACCTAATAAGATATTTTGTAAAAAGGGTATTTTATCTTAAAGATAATGAACTCATTAAAAAGATATTAAACTTCTCGTACTTGTGATTATATTTGGGTTCAATTTCGCATTAAAGAATAGAGCCAATTTAATGTTTTGAAAATTTTAAACATTTATTTTAATTTCAATACCTTCAACAAACTTATGAAGAACCAACATAAAAAAATATAGTTGAAGAAATAGTAAAATAGTATAGTGAATACAACTAAAATACTCTTATAATAAAATCACTTGATCCCATTACTAGCAAGGGCAAAGGCTATATTATTTATTCTATGTTATTGACCACCTAGAACTGAAAAATATTGACAGCTAAAAGCGTAACTGAATCTCTCAATCAATTATTATGGATTATTAGCATACAAAAACTTGAAATAGAACCTGTCTGTTATGTATTCTTTTACAAATAATCTATTAGAATAAATCAAACATGCTTGTTGTATTTAAATGTATTCTCAAAAATGATTTTTTAATCTTTATTATACGTAGCCTGAAAAAATAATTAATCAAAGTTTTAGATATCGCTTTATATGAAAAGTTGTTCTCCTACTTGATGAAACTGATATTTATCTTAAAAGATGCATTACATCAGAACTACAATATAATGCGATAGTTAGAATATTTTTACGTTAGCTAGAATACTACTAAGGTATAAAGAAATATAAGTATTTTATTTATACATATTTATTTAATTTATTCTTTACTATTATTCAGTCCTCACTTTTAAGGTATCCTCTTCTTGATAACAAATAACCAATTAAATCTATCTAAAATTTTACCTGTCATAATCTTAAAATTTTGATAAAGTTCAAGTACATAATTTTATTTTTAATAGAAGATACCAATATAACTAACTTTTCAAGATATTTGTTATTAATTAAAGCTTTATATTCTAATCCACTATTATTTTAAAAACCAATTCTATAAATAAAAATTTATTTGATAATTCTTTTTTTTTAAGGAAAATGAATCAATCTTTTAATTGGTCTTAAAAATTTAAAAATAACTTTTATTTATATATTATTAATTAGATTTTTTAATAATAATTTTATCTTTTTAATAATTAAAATAAATAAATTATATTTATTAATTTAAAATAAAAACTATTTAAAAATAAATAAGAAAATTATCAATTTAGGATCTGATTTTAGGACTTAATCTAATATTTTAAAAATATTAAATTTAATAAATTATAGAAAGAATCAAAATGATGAATTTATAAATTATTTTGGTATTTGACTCATTACTATCATAATCTAAAAAATAAGAACAAGTTAAAGTTGTTAAATAATCTAGTAAACAAAAAGTATAAAGAAGAAATAAGTAGTAAGTCAATATTAAAGCTTTCATATATTTCTATATATGATCTTTTTTTTTTTTCTATTAATTTCTTTTCAGATTCAGTCAAAATAAGCTATAATATTATAAAGATACATATCATGAAGATCTAATAATTTACAATTGATCAGAAGAATTATGAAGGATGTTAAATTGAAAATAATCATGAAAAAAAGGTAATGATAAATATCCTATAGTCGATAAGATGTCTTTTTACAAAAAAGAGATAAAAATAGTGTTATTAATAATATAATGACATAGATTGGATTCAGATATTTATAAAGTCTATATGAAGTTAAAGAGTCTTCTTTAATATAAAACATTTTAGAATTTATATAGATAATATTGATTTAACGAGGTATTATATTTTTTTTTTTACTTGTGTGATCAATAAATCAAGTTTCTTTTAATAAGCATTATTTAACATTATTTATTATACATTTTTAACCAGTACTACAGAAAAAAATATACTCAAATAATTAGTATAATTGTTCAAAAATATAATGATAGTTTTTTGGATGCAGCTGATTCAATTAGAGCTGATGATAAAAATGTGAAAAATCTTTAAATAAATCAAAATTATATGTGATTATCTAACTTTAAGTTTAAATTAAATTTTTGATTGAAGATTAATAAATATAATATCAATAATAAACGTATATAGAAATGATAATCTATTTTTTTTAGATTTTTAAATCAAAAACAACTTTACTCCTAATTAACCAGTATAAATGAACTATGATTATAAAGTTATGAAGTATTTATTTACATTAAACAGTAAACTTTCTACATTTAACATATTTAAAAATTCTTCTATTTGTTAAAATTTATTTTAAAACTAAATGTTTAATACTTTAAATTGAATGAAATAAGTAAACTTATAATTTTGTTTATCAGATTTTA